TCTCGCACCCAGTCAACATACACATTCTAGCGCTCAGCGCTCTTTCCACGACCCCGCTCTTATGAGCTCTCGGCCGGAGGCTGACTAAAGGGAACAAATCAAAAGAAAAACACACAGGATCAGAAATGAAAAGAAGCGTACCTCGAAAGACGAGATTGTTGAGTGTCACTTAAACGCATCTGTGCTAGACGAGCTAAGCCGTCGCAAAGGTAAATCCGAGCAACTCTGGAAGATTGCCATCTACCGTAGAGCAAAGTCTTTTCAAGACTGGCTCCCACTTCGAAGTGGTGAGTCGCGCCTCCCCGCCTGAGGCTGTAGCCCCGGAAACCGTGGGATTGGAGTTGAAAATGGTCCAGGAGCTTTGCTAGCGAGGAGCGAAAGAATTGGGGTGACCGATCCCAAATAGGTTTGTGCCAATGGTGCTCTGGAATCAAATCTTTGACAGTTCTGAGAATCATGAGGACACGGTCATCATCCAAGCGGATGAACTCATCCGAGGATTTGGCACTCTTGGTGTCTGTGAGGCGAAGAAGGCCATGTTGGCGCTTGATCAAGAAGTCGTGGGGGCAAACGGAGAGAACCTCGCCCGTGCGTAGGCACCCATGAAAGCCCAAGGCCAAAATGGCCGCCATCCGGAAGTGGTCCTGCGCAATGCAGAAACCCACGAGTCCCCAAAGAACAAGCGGGGGAAATGGCGGAGCCCGTTGCGGGCGCTCTACTTTGCGCCACACTTTAAAGAGTCTCCAACACTCAGGAGTCTGATGCTTGGCTGATGGCATATAGTGGCTCAGGCCGCAGAGGGCATCGGAAACATGGCCCAGCGGCTCGCCATTCTCCCATTGTTGGGTAATCCAGGTGGCCAATTGGTTGTCCAAATCGATCCAGGAGTCGGCTCCTTCAAGTATCCTTTGGATCCTCCTAAGGCCAGCGTAGTACCGGACTCTGGTTCGTTCAGTGAGCGCGGCATCCTCTAAAGAGACGCCCGCACGGCGGCGCTTACGCGCAGCGTGCCAGCGGTGCATCTGAGAATTGCCGGGACCCTTCATCCGTGGGGTTATCGAGAGAGGCCACGTGGAGAAGGATGGGGTAGACTTGAGCCAACCAGAAATGGGCATTAAAGCGACGGACTAGACCCTCCAGTTGTCGGGAAGAGGTACGTCCCTTACAAAGGATGGAAATGGTGACGAACGAATCGGAACAGTGGAACCACCTGAGGTTAAAGTGCTGCCGATCTCGCAAAACCCAGTTTAGGGTGTTGAGTGCTTGCCGCATCTCTAAGGCGTTTATGTGCTCTGTCAGCTGCCACTTATTTTGAAACAGGAACCGCCAGCTCCAGAGAGAGCTCGGCACCGACTGTCGAGTTTGTTGGCGTCCCATTAGGTGACCTGTGACTAGACGGACATCTGCCCCTGTATGATTGGTACGTTGCAAGAACACCTTGTTCAGGTCTCGGACCGAACGACACAAGGGTGAAGAACCTACGGTCTGACCGAAGTTTAGCTGTTGCGTAACCGGCGCTGACGCTGCCCACCCCGTGCAAAAGCCGGGGGCAAGACCCAACCGTTGCACCAGGTGGCAGATGGAGAAGGAACCCCTCTCCCAGCGAAAAGAGCAGGCCAACACTGCAGCAAATGAGAGCATACAGAAGCTATCTCCGATCAAAGATTCCCTAGTATCTTCGAATCCCTGTGCGTCAGTTTTTACGGCAGCGGCATTTGCTCCCCAGCTCAAAGAGGTGTGCTCAAAGCCGAAGCCCATTAAAAGCTCTCTCTCTGCTGCTGTGAGGGTTCTCCACCGACCTCCTTTCCAGAGTATATGTTCGTCCTTATATTGATAAGGTGGGAACCTGTACCGGTCAGCCTCCCACCTTCCTCGCGCTTCTACTGAGCATCGATCCAAGCCTACGGGCCTAGGAGGGGGAACCTTTCGAGGGATTGCTTTTATAAAACAAGGAAAAGGGGGTTGACTGCGCCCGTCTCCCCATTGCCAACCGGGTTCAAGCCACCTGGGTTGAAGTCCGGGAGCATCCATGGTGATCTCTATATACTCGCCCTTGTCCTCGTGTCTCATGCCCTCGAAGCTCTGAGGCTCGAAGCTTGTCCACGTCAGCCTTGGCCGGGATATCGGCAGAACGTCCCGCGGATCGAGTTTCCACGGACGGCATCCTACCAACCTGGAGATTTCTTGCCTTGCTTGTACATCCATGGAACTGACATTCTCATAGATATGGTGAATTTCAACACAAGGGGGGAAAATCTCCTTGACCAGTTGTGCCACTCGCAATGCTTCAAACAGTAGGGAGGATTGTGACCCTTCCAAGTTTGCCCGAAAACAATTGACCGCAGAGAGGTCCACGCATGGAAATCCACACCAAATGTCAATCCGAGTACAGGTAGCATACCTTATGGCTAGGCTTGGAATGGTGGCTTTATCTATCGTCCGGATGTCACCTAGGTTCCTTGCGTGCGGCCAGCGCCGATCCGTGGTGCGGCGCGCGGCCTTGTTGATTTCTGAGTAGACGGCTCCCTCAACGGCGATTCCGAGCAGGTCATATGCTCGGAAAGCGCCGCCGATTCCATTGAACAACGAAATCACTAGGATTGGCTCACGTCGAGGTGCATGGACGGGCTCGGCGACGCTGGCTAGAAAGTTGTCTCCTTCCTGCGTCAACTCCGTTGCCACAGCAGAGGCGCCTCCTTTCTGGGACGCATCTGAACATGTGATCATGTCCGCCACTTCTGCCGTGAGGTCTTGTTTGAGAAGAGGCAGGAGGAGTAGGGCATTAAAGAGCTCCCGACGAACTAAAGGGAGGAGGCTCCTACGCCCCCGGGGCCTTGAAATATACGTCCACACATGGGTAAAAATAGCCATAGCAGGTCTACGAAACGACATCAAGAAAATGATCCTCCCCACAACCGTCTGCAGGTCCTTGAGAGTGAACTCTTGGGTCAAGAGGAACAAGATCAGTTTTGCCGTTTTCAAAACCCGCAGGGGGGAACCCCCCACGAACCTGTTTTTACCGTCAATGTATGCGCCTAATTCCGTTGCCTCCTCTGCTTGTCGTACTCTTTTCTTCCCTGAAGAAATTATACCAACTCTCTCCCAGCCCCTCTCTGCCTTAGAATGCCAGCGTTGCCAAGGTTCTTGCTCGGCCTCCGCCAGTTCGTATTCGTCTCGAAGTTGCGGTGAGGCGAAGTTGTCCAAATAAACCTGCCACCAATCCCTAAAGCCCGGTTTGATCACCCCAGAAAGCCCCACCATCCAGGGTGGTGTCATGACGTTCCGTGTCAACTGATGGTCTCCCGAGAGGTGCGACTGACGCATGATTCGGGAGGACAACTCTTGCATGAGGGACACGCTTGAGTGCCACCCCATGGGCAGCACCGCACAGCAAAGTGCGTAGCGCTTGTTGGGGGTTCTCTTGATTACTGCGCCATCAACCAAAATCCGGAATGATAGGTATTGCTGCCAACAGGTTGGAATCCGAAACAGGTAGAATGCCGAGGACATGTCGGATTGGGAAGTCTCCAGGATCTCTGACCCTGACATCACAATCGAACCCCAGGTGTGGATGTCAGGTAGTGCGTCATGCCCAGCCTCAAGGGGATAGAACAACCTATTCGAACCTATTGCAGGGGGTAAGATTCATGATTGTCCTGAGGATTGCTTTTCCCGAAGCCGTACTGGAGTCCTTCTTAACCCCAAACATTCCATTGTAGAGCTTCCGCCCCCGGTGTTCGAACACCTCGCTCTCCGGTATCCAATCACAGACCCCCCGAGCAACCAACGACTGGGCGATGAGAAACTTTTCGTTTTCCGCAATGTGTAACTTAGCCTCGAACTTGTATCCCTCAAAAAGTTTAGGGTCTCTGAGCAGCCGTCTGGGCGCGCTCAACCAAGAACCACTTCCAGGGGAGAGAAAATCTAGCAAGTTAACACTACCGCCAAAACCTTTGGAGGGTAAGGCAGGTTCCATCTGTTCTAGGGTTAACACTTGCGCCACTTCTACCTCTTCACCGGTGTAGCTGACATGGGTCCTCTTCAGCTCTTGCACGCAATCTTTTTCTAGCCAACGAAGGTCCTGGTGAGGGGCGAGGCTCCGTTCGAGCGTGGACCCCATTTGGTCCATGGCCGCTCGCTGTAACGCGGTAGCCTCACCCGGTGGCAACAACGTCCTGTACCCTGCCAGCAAATTGCAGCCGGCAGCGATGCACAGTTGCCAGTTCTCCACACCTCGCTCTTCGCACCCTGGCTTGTCGAGCGCAACGGGCATCAAAGGCGCCCTGCGCCCAAGCTGTTCAGCCTCAAAGTCTCTGGGAAAAATCCTCGACTGACTCCTCAAATGGTCAACCAAGCCAGCATTGAAACCTGCTGGAATCGGAATGAGCGACCGTGAGGAACGCTTACGGTTCCCGGCGTCCCACGGCCTCTAGGCCTAGCCACATTCTCAAATCCTCTCCTTCTGCTTGCATCAGCCTGGTCGTGACCCACGCAAGGCCTCTGCCAAGAGAGTTCATATCGTGGGCCACCTCAAGCAACTCCTTCAAGCATCCTCTGCTCAGTTGTCGCTCTTGTTCGGCGGCGGCTCTTGGCTCTGCCGCCAGTCTTTGCTCTGCGACTTGTCCTTTCCTCCTTTGCCTCTGCCTTTCTTCCCTTTTCCTCTTCCTTTGCCTTCTCTGAAGCCATCGTCCTCCTCGAACCACGGCTTTCCACCTCTGCCAGTCTGTTGCCAGCGTCTTGGGGCAATCCCCAACGCACGGTCTGACAGCTTGGCAAACCGCCTCGCCTGGAGCACTATGTTCGTGCTGGACGCCGATGCCGTCTCCAGAGGTCTGATCTCTAGGTGTTTCGCGGCCCTCCAGCTTCCTCCATCGGTCACCGACTGATGTATTGCCATAACTCGGGCCGCCAGCAGGTCGCCAAGGTGATCGAGCTGCCCCGCACGCAACTGGTCTATCGCTTGTAGAAGGCAGTAAATCTCTCTGGCCTCCTTCATCCTTCCTGTCATCTGGGGCTTGACGATGAGGCGCCAGTACTTTGTCGCTGAGACTCCTCCGATGACCGAGCGGGTCTCTTCTGCCTCTCCTTCGTCGAGATTCTGAAGCGATTCTCTCATATGTTGCACAAAGAGCTTCAACACCGACCCGGCCTTCTTCTGGCTCATCCTCTCGAGAGGTGGCGTCACCTTTTCCATTTCCGACCTCTCCTTCTCGTCTTGCGAGGTTTCTCCTGAACCAGTCTCGGAGCTCCCAATCTCCGAGCTCCCACTGTGGTGGCTCTCGTCTGAATCTCCCGGATCGTCTGGGTCGTCCTTCTTCCTCCTCTTTGCCTTCGCTTTGTCTCCAGTCAGCCCCTTCACTTTCTTCAAGCCCAGACCCTTCGCTAAGGTTTGCATCAATGCCATAGCCGTCTTCTTGGGCTTGTTGTTCTTGGAGCTGGACTTCTTCGGCCTGGGTTTGGTCGTTGCCTTTGATACCAGTTCTCCCAAGACACCTCCGGGGAGCTTGTCTCTCTTCTCCTCCTTCTCCTTCTTCGAGCCCTTCGTAGTAGTTTCTTTTGTATCCTCGTCGAGGTCCTTGAGCTCCTTCGTCTTGGCTGGATCCTCGGTCAAGCGACTCTCCTTCTCCGATCTCCTCTTCGGCGACGCCCGTGCAGGTCCGAAGACATCGAACCGCCGACCTCCACCAGCTCCAGCTCCATCGCGGGCCTTGGGGCCGGGCTGATGCCCGAGCCGAGTCTTCAGCCGGGACAGGGCTTCCCGGAGCGCCGGCCTGGAACCCCTTTCGGCCCCCTCGCCATCCTCGGGACGATGAGACGGAGCCTCCAGTCGTTTGGGTAGTCCTGTTCCTCCTCGCGTGAGTCGCCCAACTTGTCGCCCCAGACTCCTCCAAGGGCGTCTCCTTCCTGCTCTCTCTCGTCTTGCTCCTCTCTGCTCCTCTTGGGTTTCCTCAGGGCGCCGCTGCGGCCTGGGAGCTTGAGGGTCCCAGCCGCTGCGGCAATAGCCTCGGGGGAGACCCTTTCTCCTCCAGGTGACTCTTCTCTCCTTCCCTTGCCTTTCCTCCGATCCCACTCGCGACGACGTCTTTTGAAGGCCTTGGCGATGTTGACGTCGATGGACTTGAGCGGGTAGTCGGTGTTGGCAAACTTGTAGAAACTGCAACCGTGGGCGCCCATCTTCTCTATCGCACAGGACTTGGGTCCATCTCTTGAAGTGCAAAGGTGTAGCCTCGCCTTCTTCCTGTTGAACAAAGTCCCCAAAAGTGCTGTGCTTGCATCGTCGTCCGCTCCTAGGCACGCTACCTGCAATATAAGGCCAGAGTCGTCCCGCAACTCGACGGCCTCCACCCAGAAAACTCCTCGGGATGAAGTGAGCCCCTCGACACCTTCTAAGTCCAGCGCTTCGAGAATATCTCCTTCGTCGAACTCCTCCGTTTCGATGGTGTCGGGATGTGAAGCGAGGTCGAACTTCATGGATATCTGCCTCTCTTTGGGCTTGGGCGCCATTCTGTCTCCTCCCCTCCTGTGTCCCCTCCTTGGGGACTCTTTCAAGGTTCGTCTGAAGGCCGCGGGGCGGCCTGGCGTTCGTAGAGTTCACGGCCCAGAGGGTGATGAGTGACCCTGGCTTGGCCGTCGTCCTGCCTCCGTGTATGCTGCTGATGCTTGCTTCCACCTCGGTGCTTCTTTCTCTTCTCGTGATGCTCCTCCTCAAACCTTTCGTCCTCAACTCTCTCAACCCTTTCTCGATGACGATGTCCAGGTGGCGGTCGAGGTGGAGTCTTAGGCCTGGGCCTGACGGGAGATCTCGGGCGTTTGCCCTTGGATTTGGCGGCCGTAGTTGGCTCTGCCGATCGGCGACTCGGCGGTTCGCAGTCCTCCACCTCGTACTCCTCTACCTCGCTCACCTCGTCGGGTGCTGGTGCCCTCCGGGAAGGCGCAGGAGCGTCCGCTCCGAGGCGGTTGCCAGCGAACCGCAAGGCTCGCACGGCACGCGCCGCGGCCACGCACGTGTCCTCCGCGATCACGCGGATCGCGGCGCTCGACCACCCGCGCTTGAGATCCGCGACGATCGATTCGAGCGCCGCGCAGGCCAGGCACCAGCTGTCACCCGGCTGCCTCGCCCCGCTCCTGCACTTATTGCAAGTGCGGGAAGAGGCTTCCATGAGCTGTGGAAGCTGGTAAGCCCAAACGGCCAAGTACATACGAGTTCAGGCAAAACGTCAAAAATAAGACTGAATTCTCCATTAAAGGCTTTCTATTCTGCATGACAGGTTCCTCTTTTGTGCAACTTTAGAAGGGTCATCGGTCATCATTTAGGAAATCTGTGTAAATATGATGGCTTCATTCTAAATGATGAACAATCGCCCCTCGCCCCTGAGCCTTAAATATTGCCTTTTATCCTACATCTGTTTGATTTTTCAACTGTTAAGCTTGCGCCGTGACAATAAGTATCTTGGAGTGACACATTTTAGGAACAGTCCTAGTTCAGTAAGACACTGCTGGACGCAGTACATTGCAAAGCTGTCCCTTCAACATACTTGAACATGAACTAACAACAATCCAGCAAAAAGTTACAATGTCTGGGAGAAATTGAACCGCATATAGTTCGAAGGGGGCGAATAATGCTGAGAGAGGAAGAGTACAAAAGATTATGACATTGCGAATCACTTCCATCAGCATAAGAAGCCATATGAGAAGAACAGCATAAACATCATAAACGACACTAATACCATTGCAAACACCAAAGTGCTTTAGACAAACATTAGAAAGCTATTAATTAAGTAAATTGTCAGGATAGAGGCGATTCAACCCTGTTAGGGACCAGAAAGCTAGACAAGAAAGGTAAAGGCTACTTGGCTCAAAGAATACGCCCTTGAGAATGAGGACAGAACAGCTGCGAAGGAGGGAATGCATATCTAAACTGTAAACAAATAGGAAGGACTGAAGAACTAAATGAAAAACACGTGCCAGAAATGTTTCAGGCATTTTGTCACAATTCAAAACACAAGCCCTATGGCGGCCAACTCCCCTGTCGGGGGAGATTTCTGCAGCGCCTGGATCAAAGGCCGGATGATTGGCTGAAGCTGTCGACAAGATGGCCTTAGATTCGTGTTTTGCAAGTATTCGGTGGATCCACTAGCCACAAAATTCCGAGGAAAGGGCCACTAGGGTGGTTTTCCAGTGGACCACCAGCAGCATACTTGCCAGTGCTCATTTTGGTGGCTTGATGCGCGCCGTTTCACAGAAAACGAAACAAGCTATGCACAAACATATGCAATAACGCCTGGAGTATCTTTTCTTGTGGGCGTCGCTCTTATTTCTCAAGGACAACCCAGACTAACTACGTCCGTGCATTGATGAAACGCTCATTGGTAAAGTCGTCGACGTTGATGCTGAAGTTGACTCATATCTGCTGTCTATACCCTACAAGTAGTAGCAGGCCCACGTTAGCGCAGCCAAATTCTGCCAAGCTTCCCAAGCAGTCACCCAGAAGCCCCACTTGGATTTGCACAAATGCCTTACACAGAAGGGGTTGATAGCAAACGCATCAAATAGCAACACCTAGCAGCCTAGCAGTTACATGACACTAGCGCCAAATTCGGATGGTTTTAATTCATTACGGACGACGTCCGATTGAATCTAAGCTTATCCGCATTTTGGGAACACGGAATGGATTGATGCTCAATGCTCCGGTTCTCTTTTTCTATATTATTCTAAATAATGCATGCCCGGCAGCATTCCACAATGCTGGACTGAGCATTGTCTTGGAATGCTTTATAGTGCGCTTTTTTAATATGAATCCACTACCACTCCTGGTTTGAAACAATATCGCTGCACAAATCATTCAGTTACTTTCGTACATACATATATATATATATACACTGTAGACTGTATGATGTTTCTGGAGACGACATGGACGGCATCCAGGGCTTTGAAAACCCGGTGCAGCACAGCAAATCAAGGGCAAACCACCTTGCCTAGCTGCTTCCAGGCCAAAAGGGCCAAACCAGCATAACAAGAAAAGGAGCACAGAAAAAGTACGGTAATGTTTCTGGACTATTTTGGATCCCAATTCAACTATTGGCTGAGGCTCAGTTGCTTGGATCTCTGCTCTGCAGTCGACATCGAGCGGCTTAAGAAAGCAATTGATGCAACAAATTCTGCAAAGGATTGCAAAAGCCTGTATTGAACGCACCGGCCTATCTCTAAGGAGGTTATGTGTGTGTGTGTGTCTTGTCATGTCTTCTGTCTTCATGCAAGCCAGTTCTTTGCCGGCTTGCCTAGGGCCTAGGCCATGGCTTTTGGTGGCATATGCAGTAGATCAGTAGATGGCATCGAAAGGAAGCCAACTTGCCACAGTTGTCACCACAGTTGCATGCACAGCATGCCAAACTATGGCAAGAACGCATCTTCGCAAGGGCCGTCACCTCGGAGATGCCAAGGGCCCCCCGAAAATGCGATCCACCCCGCAAGGCGCGCACGAGCCAGCAATCTGCACGCTCAGGGTCAGTCAAGTCGGCATTGCTTTGCAAGGCAGCCTTGAAGAGCTTCCAACCCAATAATTCTCTTTTAAACCTTCGACATCCAGGACCTCCTTGACCTTCTATCAAAGGGCCCCAGGCCCTAGTTCACAAAGATCCTCAAAGATCCATGGGCCAATGGGTCCGACATGAGGTAACCGTGAGACAGTGAGCAGTTTCTCGTGCCTGACTATCAGCGATGGCATCTTGAAGCTGACCAAGGTCCAATCGAGCACGGCTGCGTCTCCACAGGAGGCGGGCCTCAGCCCCACAGGCGAAGATTTCTGGTACTTTGTCGGCAAGCGGCGAGCGGATTTCATTGGCAGTAAAAATGCTTGGTTTAGTTGGGTTGGATCTGGACTTGCTGAGGTGATCGGGCGCTTTCTGGCTCTTGATTCAAGAAAGCGTCGTAGTCTGCCGCCTCAGTTGACTCAAGCCTCAAACGGGGTCGTCCAAGCTGAACGGCCGCCTGAAATCGCTTGGGCACCGGCTGCCTTTACAGAATCCCCTGTTTTGAAGTATGCCTCTCCTTGACAGAGTGGAGCCGCTGCTTTGTTTGGGGTAGGACGGGTAGGACAACTTTCCAACCTTATCGAAAATTACAACCCTTGTGTCTGTATGTGTCTGTAAGAAGTGAAAGCTCAACCGCTCCTCGCACTGCGTAAGCTCTCACAATGCGACAATCCAACCTCAGGGAGAGCGCTGTGTCAGCCACGATCCAAAGGCAAAAACACAAATTGTGCGCCAGCCTTTGCCTGTTTGAAGTGTGGCGCATGTGAGCAAGACTGCCATTATATACACTTACACTTACACCTCACTGGTGCCTTCTCTCGTTTGCAGCAAAATATTGAAATAAGTCAGTGGAGGGCAAACCTGTGAAGTGTGCTGTCCCTGACAAGTTTTTTCTAAGCTGCTCTGATGCGTATTCACCGCCCGTCTAGCTCAAAGGGAATCGACTTCTTTGAGTTGACCCTCATTGACCAGGAATCAACTGACCTTCTTGACGCTTCTTCTCTTCCAAGACGAAGTTCCCAAACCACACACGGTATACAAACCAGCCATAGGTTACAAAGACCAAGCAAATGGCCGTGGAGACGCTTGCTGCCATCCCAAAAGACAAGGAAAAGGAGAGCAAGCAGGCTGTCAAAATGCCACCGCAACAGGCCGTTTGAGCCAAATATGCAGGAACGGTCGTCCACATCAGCTTGTTCCGGCTGGGATTCACACGGTAGATGTAGCCGTATGCTATGCGCGCCAGCACCCAAATGACACCACAAGCACCAGCAAATGTTGGGTCAAGAGTGAGTGCGCAAGCCCACTGTGCCAGAAAGAATGCCCATGCTTGCTCAACTTGATTTTGTTGCGCTCTTAATGCGCGAATGAACGGCTCCAAATGCTTGGCATCATGTGTTTCTGTTGTGAAAGGGTACTTCAGTTGATACGGTGTCCGCGCAGCGCCCACCGCAAAGGTGTCCACACAAACATAATGCAAAACAAAGATGGCCGTAACCGCGGAGGGAAGTTCAAATCCTTCCAAAGCCATGTAGGGTGAAGGCCCTCTAGAAAACAGGGACGAAACCAGAATTGAATTGTTTGAAGCTTGAACCAACGTGTCCCGCTTGAGACTTTAGCTTCTGACAAAACGGATCCAAACGAACTCAGAATGAACTTCATACTTGAACAAGTACTCACTGGCCAGGGCTCAAGCTCCAGTGTGGCTGAAGCATCTTCAATCGCACCCTCCAAACATGCAAGCAAGAACCAAATTAAATAAACTGCCTTTTGGAGGGGTGTCCTGGCACGAAAATGGCAACCGGCACTGCAACCGGCTACCCCTGGAACAAGGCGCAGTGTGAGCGCAAATTTGGAAAGTGATCAAGGCCTGAAAGTCTCCATGCTCCAGTTTGCCTTGAGCTCGATGTAGCCATATCACCGGCCACCGTGGCTCCACCTCTGCAATACTTTGTGTCAGCGTCAGTAAGGGGCGGTGCTAAGTAGACGACCTCAAGAGCGGCGTTGAAGGCGGCAAGGGCTCCTGGAGTTTGCGGAAAGGCGGTTGCTCTCAAAATCTGCTAGGAGAAACTCAAAGAAGAATATATATATATATATATAAATGCAGCGCTCATTTCTTTTGTTCCACTTCGCAGCGAGTTTGTCATAAATAGAA